GATTCATTTTGCTGTATAGCAGAAACTAATACAACATTGTAAAGCAACTATAGACCAATGAAAATTAATTAAAAAAACAATTCACAAAATGGCAATAAGTGCATATCTATCAATAATTACTTTAAATATACATGGACTAAGTGCTCCAATCAAAAGACATAGATTGGCTGAGTGGATACACAAACTGGACCCATATATATGTTACCTACAAGAGACTCATTTCAGATCTAAAGACACACACAGCCTGAAAGTGAGGGGAGTAACAGGTATTCTGTACAAATGGAAATGAAAAGAAAGCTGGGGTACTAATACTTATACCAGACAAAATAGACTAAAATGAAGACTGTAACAATAGATAAAGAATGACATTAAGTAGTGATCAAGGGATCAATCCAAGAAGTTACAACAAAAAGTGTATATGCACCCAACGTAGGTCCATGTAAATACATGAAGAAAATATTAACAGACAAAAAGGGAGAAATTGACAGTAAATAACAGCAGACTTTATAGCCATTCTGACAGGTGTGAGATGTTATCTTATTGTGGTTTTGATTTGCATTTCCCTAATGATTAGTGATGTTGAGCATTTTTCATGTGTCTGGGGGCCATCTGTATGTCTTCTTTGGAAAAATGTCTATTCTGGTCTTTTGCCCATGTTTTAATCAGGTTGTTTGGTTGGTGTTTTTTTGTTTGTTTTGTTTTGTTTTTAAATAAATTTATTTATTTATGTATTATTGGCTGTGTTGGGTTTTTGTTGCTGCACACGGGCTTTCTCTAGTCGAGGCAGCTCTCTACTCTTCATTGTGGTGTGTGGGCTTCTCATTGCCATGGCTTCTCTTGTTGAGGAGCATGGGCTGTAGGTGTGCAAGCTTCAGTAGTTGTGGCTCACGGGCTCAGTAGTTGTGGCTTGTGGGCTCTAAAGCTCAGGCTCAGTTGTTGTGGTGCATGGGCTTAGTGCTCCACAGCATGTGGGATCTTTCCAGACCAGGGCTTGAACCTATTTCTCCAGCATTGGCAGATGGATTCTTAACCACTGCGCCACCAGGGAAGTCCCTTGTTTTTTGTTTTTTATTGTTGAGTTGTATGAGTTCTTTGTATATTTTGAATATTAACTCCTTATCAGATACATTGTTTGGATATATCTTCATCCATTCAATTAGGCTGCCTTCTGTTGTTGTTGTTGTTCTTAGTTTCCTTCACTGTGAAAAAGGTTTTTAGTTTGACGTAGTCCCATTTGTTTAGTTTTGCTTTTGCTCTTCTTACCTGAGGCGACATATTCAAAAAAATATTGCTAAGACTGATGTCAAAGAGCATATTGCCTGTGTTTTCTTATAGTGTTATGGTTTCCAGTCTTATATTTATGTCTTTATCCATTTGAGTTTATTTTTGAATATGGTGTGAGAAAGTAATCCACTTTGATTCTTTTACATGTAGCTGTTCAGTTTTCCCAACATCATTTATTGAAGAGACTGCTTTTCTCCACTGTATATTTTTGCCTCCTTTGTTGTAGATGAATTTGACCATATAAGCTCAGGTTTATTTTTGGATTCTCTATTCTGTTCCATGGATCTATGTGTCTGTTTTTTTATTCCAGTACAATACTGTTTTGATTATGATAGCTTTGTTGTGTAGCTTGAAATCAAGGAGTGTGATACCTCCAGCTTTGTTCTTTCTAAAGATGTTTTTGGCTATTTGGAATCTTTTGTGTTTCCATGCAGATTTAGGCTTATTTATTCTATTTCTGTGAAAAATGCCTGTAGCATTTTGACACGGATTTCACTGAATCTGTAGATTGCCTTCTGGAATATTCAAATTTGCTAAATCTGTATTTTCTGCTTTTCATCTAAGCGTTTTAAGATCATTTTGTAAGAGTCAACTCCTTCATCTCCATTATATATATAGTCACTGGATTCTTAAAACGTTATAGTTTGATAGCTTCAAGTTCTTGTTATTCAGTGTATTAAAGAGAGGGAGAGGGAGAGGGAGAGGGAGAGGGAGAGAGAGAAGTGATGATGGTGGTTTCTTTATATTAGGTTGAATAACTCTGGGGAACTGTGGAGGAACTGATCCTTTTAGACATGTGTTCTCTCCTGTATGTATTCTTTTTGGAAGGTGATCAATAATTATTATTCCTGTCTATAATCTTTGACATTTAAATGTAACATACAGTTTATAGTCAAGTTCATTTCAATTATAAGAGGAAAAGCAAGTTTCAGGTATGAACTGTGAAACAGTCTGTGAAGAGGCTATGTGACCTACCCTTATTTATGAGCCTCTCAGGTTTAAAAGGCAAGGGAGTGACGTGCAAATAGTGGCACTTTTAGAGATAATACTGGAGAATGGATGGGAAGACATGAGAATCGTTGTTTATTCTATAATCACCTGGAAGGCTTTTTAAAATGCTGATTGAGTCTTTCTTTGCCTAGATCTTCTAACAGCTTTCTGACAGAGAATTTGCATCTTTAATAAGTTCCCAGGTGATTATGGTGCCCTCTGTTGCAGGAAATACACCTTGGGAACCACTGGACTAGAACTGGGAAGTCTGGTTAGGATCCTTTGCATTGATCTCTGCAAGTTATAATACAGAAGTAAATGCTGACAGTAGATTTAGGGAGGAAGGGGTAGATTTCAAGGATATAGCAGACTTACAACTGACAGGACTTGTCAGACCAGAACATGCAGGTGAAGGAGGGGGGGTTGGATCTAGAATGATTTCTGGATTTCTAACTTTGATGGTGGACTGAAAATGGTGGTGCATGATCTCAACATATGGAATAAAAGAGGAGAAGCTGAGTAGGTTTTTGGGGTGGGCTTGATGACAAGTTTGGTATTAGACATGTCAGATGGAGGTTTATGTGGGTAATTGAAGTGGAGATATTTGTTAGGAAAATAGGATACTGCTGAGGTTAAGATGCTGTTAAAAGAACACAGTTATATAAGTGCAGGCATACATGTTGATGGAGGAGAAAGTATAGGTCATACATTGAAGAGAATATGGAGCTGAGAGCAGAACTCTGGGATATGCCAATATTTAATGTGAAATCAGAATAGTTCACCTTAAAAAAGCCTGAGCCAGACTGGCAGGAATCCTGGAGAGTGTCAACTTTAAAAATAAAATAGCCAGTTATCTCAGCAGCATGAGTTTATTTGGTAATAACCAGGGGAATCGTAATTGGGGAAATAAATTCAAGCTTTTGACCACAGGGAAATGCGGAGAACAAAGGCAGGAGCTTTTATAGAGAAAAGGGGAAGTGGGCGGGGCTCTCCTCTATAAAAGTTCATTGGAGGAAAGTGGGAGTTCAGGTTTCTCATTGGCTGAGCTGCGACATTTTCCATTGGCTGAGCTTGTTGCTGGGCGGGAAGAACATCTCCCTTCCTCCTGCTGGGGAAGTAGAGACCCCTTCCCGTTGGAGGTGCGAGGACCCTCTCTTCCCGTTTGGGTGATTGACCCCCGGTGGTAGGCGTGAGAGCTCCCTGTGCAGGCCTTCCAGACGCCAGTTTTAATTGAGGGTTAGAAATTAATTTTCGCCAGAATTTTTATAAGGGTGTAATAAACATGTCAGCACAGCAGGAAGGTCAGACGACATACGGATGCAGACGTGCCCATTGTAATTAGGAACCGGCGGGTGGTGGGGTGGGCGGAGATAGGAAACCTTAGGAAAAGCAGTTTTTTCAGCATAGCACAGATGAGACCCAGATTCTATTTATTTGAAGTTAGAAACAGTTTTAGAACAGAATACATGCCTTCTGCTTTTCTGAAATTAAGTTTCTACTTTTTCACCTCGGAAGAGGAAATCGTTATTGATAAAAATAGTTTAGGTATGAATGGATTCAAATTCAAGTTCTAAGCTGAATTAAATAAAATGTTTAAAGAGCAAACTGAGAATCAGTTTCTATGTCTTTCCTATTAGGAGGCGCTGCTTCTTGTGGGGTGTTAATGTCCCTTTCCTCAGGAAGCTTTCAGAAATGACTCTGGGGTTTTTGCGGTTGGTTCTCCTGGAAGGGATTTGTCTTTTTCTTCACCCGTTTCCCTGATAGGGAACCAAGAATGCTATTATTCCTGTTGAGAATGTTATCTTACACTGTGATTTGTTTGACAGCTGGGCATGATTATTTTATTAGTTTCCTAATTGATCAACTTAGGGCAGCTGTCACTTCTGGAATTTGACCTTAACATTTTTCTTTTCCTCCAGTGTTTTTCTAAGCAAATTTATAACAAAATGCTGAGAGTAAGTAGAAATTGCTGCTCTACGTAAGATCAGTATCTGAGATAATAGTGTCATAGCAGGATTTATCAGTGATGTGTTATTGTCTAGAGAACATAATTTAAACCTGCCTACATCTGTGTTAGGAAACTTCTCATGGGTTGTGTGGATTGACTCTTCCCGACTCTCTGGAAGGATTTGAGATTGAGCTAACACAGCCTGTTGGATTTGATGATTGTATCATAATTAATTAGTTGGAAAGTTCCTCCCAAAATGTGGGCCAAATGCAAAATGAGAGCAAATGCCAGTAAAATAGTGAGCTTTCTAAAAAACCTTCATAAAAGCACATTTTCTATTTTGTGGTCAAACTCATCTGATCTAACAGATTCTCTGCGTACTTTTATTTTTCCCTTTACTTATTGGCCAGTGTTTCAAGGTTCTGCATTTAGAAATAAAGAACACTTTTTATATCTCAGGCTGCAAATGATCAGATGTGTAACTGTTATTTTACAGAGACCAAACTAACTTCCTAGATGGTTAGAAATTTCAGTGATGGCAGATCAGGCTCTTACAAGGCAGGTAAAGAGCCTGATGCTGAAGCTGCTGGTGAACAACAGGGCAAAGGCAGGGCTTTTGAAGACGGGAGATACAAAACCCAAAAGCTTGTTCACATCAGCTCTGGTACTTTAACTGTTCTAAGTTATTTGTTCTTCGTTTAGGATAAAAATAACATTCTATTAAGCCTATCACTGAGTTCAAATAACATTTCTCCCTTTTCCTTTCTTTCTTGAACAGGTTGTCAAGTTACTAAGCAACAAAAGGTCACAAGCAGTTGGAATATTGATGTCTAGCCTTCACTTAGATATGAAAGATATACAACATGGTAAGTGAAAAATAAAAATTCAGCTTTTGAATACTCAAATTTGGGCCAAAGGATGTGCTGCTTAGTGGTAAAATTATTTCATACTTAGACTCTCTGTGTAGAGTGAGATGAGTATGTTTCCTGTAACTGCTACCAAACTTTCTACCATGATTGTTTCTGGAAAGGTTATGAGTAATTTGCCTTCTGTGTTATTTCTGTATCTTGCTAAGAGCATGATTCTCATGTGACATGTTTAGTGTGCATTAGCAAATATTTAATTTTTGACTCATGAGAAATACTAGTCCCACTGTGCTCTGTACCTGATTTGACTTCTCTGTGCTATGTCCAAAGAGGGACTGGTGAACACTGGTGAGATCCAGATGTGGGCCATGCCTCAGCCCCTGACGATACCTGGGGAGGATGGTCCACAGGAGAGGAGAATATGCTGAGAGTGAATCTCAGATGTTTGCTGAGCTAACATAAAGAAGAGGAAGTAAACCTAAGATTTTCTAATAGATCAGCTAAAACCAGTGTACGAGTTACATGAAAGCTTGTTTTGATTGTTGTTGTTTTTAAAATGTCCTTATGATTAGAGACGTGGAAGAGTAGACTGGATTGCCGTGTATAGTGATTAAATGAAAACTCAAAACTGTTGAAGGGGCTGCATGACCACTCGTCTCAGTGCCTTTAAAGCATTGAGTAAGTGATGGGACGTATTCTCTTCAACCTCCTGTTCCGAGAGGCTGTGAGATGCTGAAAGAATCACTCAAGCAGCTTTATTATGTGTAACTTTTTAGGCTGGACAACTGGTCCCTCTTTTTTCAGTTCCTTGGGATGACGAGCATGTAACCGCCAGGGTTCTCTCCACATACAGGGACCAAATTATTTTTGTAATAAGCATCAAAGATAGTTTCAAGTTATTCTTACCCGTTTATGTTATTGTTGGTGATCCAGACGCATGGAAGCAGTAATAGCATGATATTTTGTTATTCTTTATGGTGTTGTTTTAATTTATATCTTTAACCAGGCTTATAAAATATTTTCTATATTTGGAAATAGGGTGATTTTTACCATTTTTAAAATGGCTTTCATGTCAGTATTTTAATACTTTACTATTGACAGGCATCCCTATGCTATATTGTCCTATCACATTTGTGCTGAAAGATATTGCCCGAAGGTGAATAGAGGAATTAAATTTATCTTCAAAATGTCCCATAAGCTGTTCAGAGCCTTAGAATAGATTTAAAGCAGATTAAATTATCCAATGGAATGCCAGTTTACCTGTTAACAAAATATGGTTTAAAAATCATGAAAACATTTACCTGGCTTTCCAGCTTACCCCCGTATGAATGTGGATTCTATTTGGTCGGCTTAAAATAATGTGTGGAATAATTCATAAATAGCACAAGCTTGTCCTGCCCTGTCAATCCGTGAGTAGCACAATCACAATTTAAATTCTTATTAAGCTGCTTTGGTGGTGAGGAGGCTTTCTCAAGTGGAAGCATTGGGAGTTGTTGTCATAGAACAGGACGCCAAGGCCGGCAACAAGAAACATTTGCTTTTCTAAAGCTGGCAGATGTAGCCCAGTCAAGCCATGGAATGAATCTGAAATTAATGCTATGGTCCTTTCCTTCAATCGGATATTGCCTGGGTTGAGTTAGTAATGAGAACCTTCTGAGCAAAGGAGTCGACTAACGTGTGTGTGTGTGCGCGCGCGCGCGCGCGTGCGTGTGTGCGTGCGCCTTTTGGTGCCAGAAGCCCGAGTCTGATGTGTGTTGTCGAGATTGCGGTGTCCGTGAGCAAATCACTTGGCGGCCTCCATAGTAAAACTGACTCTGTCAGGATGTGCCTCCACTGAGAAGTCCACGGAAGTGTAAACATCAATTGGTTTGGATGTGGAAGTGGCCACAGGATGTAACGAGACCTCTGGGGTCACCTATACAAGAGCAAACTAAGCTCTTTCAGTGGTGTGTCTCTTGCTCAATGTCACGCAGCTTGTTTTATTTTATTTTATTTTTTTCACTGTGGTCTTCCAAGTCTTTATTAAATTAAGTTTTCTTTGAATACCTAGTTTACTGAGAATTTTTTTGTTTTTGTTTTTTAAACATCTTTATTGGAGTGTAATTGCTTTACAATGGTGTGCTAGTTTCTGCTTTATAACAAAGTGAATCAGCTGTATGTATACATATATCCCCATATCCCCTCCCTCTTGTGTCTCCCTCCCACCCTCCCTATCCCACCCCTCCAGGCGGTCACAAAGCACCGAGCTGATCTCCCTGTGCTATGTTGCTGCTTCCCACTAGCCATCTATTCTGCATTTGGTAGTGTATGTAGTGCAGCTTGTTAATAGGACAGACTGACCTGCCCTCAGCCCTCCTGACTAACTACTCCTCCCCTCCCATCCGCACATGCTGCTCCTTGAAGATTGTGCTTTTCCTACAACCAGCATTGGCATCTCAAAAACAAAGCATGTGTAAGATGGTAAAAAACTGCAGGGATTTTCTTCTCTGTCTTCTTCCCTGTCAGATAACTCTAGGAAAGCTTAGAGCTGAGTTTCCTTAGTAATGCTTCTATTGTAAAGTGCCGCATTGGAGTAATTAGGATGGGATGTTTGGGTCATAGGTGCCAAAGGTCTGATCCTCCTCTTGTCACCCTATCTGTGTGTGTGTGTGTGTGTGTGTGTGTGTGTGTGTGTGTGGCGCTTATGATGGAGGCCTGAGCTGCTGTGATGCAATTGTGAACGTGCCTGGTAAACTCTAAATTATCCTGCATATTGTAACAATCTTTAGATGGGAAGAGTGAAAATGGTGTGCACTTCTGAAAACTCCCACTCCAAGGGTTTAGAATAATTTAAACTCTAGGATGAAGGTACTTTTCAGAGATTTGCCCTAGTCTGTGCTGGGGGTCCAAGCAACTCTGGGTTTCGGATCTCCTTAAATAAGGCTCCAGAGGCCCCGTCAGGCAGGGCTAACTGTCCATCACTGCAGGAGTCGATTTCCCTGTGTGTAGCCGTTCGAGTCCCAGTTTATTGTCAAGAGGATCTAGAATCTGTACTTAGGGTGGGCCCTGAGCTTTTGTGTTTGCCCCGGGCCCCAGAAACTGTCAGCACGAAGTTCAGATTTGTTGGGTCAGGCAGGGCAAAGGCAGGCTCTGAGCGGGCTCCTCTCTCAGACCTTTCTCTTGCCTTTTGATTAGAATCCTAATTCCTATCTCGTCAGCTCTTTGAAGACTTTAAGGTATTTTACAAATATATTTTATCCAGCATTTTTAATTGTTCTCAACGGGAGGATTCCTTTAAATAATCTAGTATTAGTCCCAGAAATTGGTATTATGAGAGTATCTACAGATTTGTAGTTCAGTGAAAATAAATTGAATTTTCTGTATAACTTTTGACCCATAAGAAGTCAGTGTGGTCTTTGCAACTCTTAGGTCCATTTTGGTAGATCATAGTAGCTGTAAAGGAATTCTGAATTTCATAAGGCTCAGCTTTGCCCCCAACCCATCTCCAGTCTCACTACTGGGCAGAAGATCCACGTGGTTCATCATCCAGACTGGGATACTTTTGAGAGTGGAAGGGGTGCCATTAATAATACTGCCTGGACAACAAGTGCTAAGTGGACATTTTGCAGGCACACAAGTAGTAAGGTTACCCTGCCACCAGATCAAACGCAGCAGTTTCTGATCTAATTCTCTCTTGTTTAGATATTTATTAAACCCTGGCCAGTAGGGTTACTGTAACCCTGAGGTTGTCTAACTTTCGGTGGTTGGAGGTCCTCTCACCAATATCTTGCCTGAAAGGTTTGCTCTGCACCGATACAGACCCATCACAGAGGGAGCGATCTTTTGCCCTCCGTATGCCGGAGACGCTGGAAATCCAGCGCAGCCAGGGCCGCAAACAGGGCTTTTCAGGACAAAGCCTTGGGTGGCCTCCTTAAGGACCCCAGCTGTAGACTCACTCTGCGGGGTGTCTCGTGCTCAGCCTGTGGACGGAGGTGGCTGGGGCATGTCTAAGAGATTTCAGCTAATCCACAGACCTTGTATACCCTTAGTTTCATGTATTCGTGTACGAATGTGCAAGCCTCAGCTATCGGAGGGCTGAGGACCTTGCAGGAGCTGCCTCTGGAGTGTGGCCTTCTTACAGGCCACAGGGGCACCGCCACCACCCTGAGGTGCAGGTGCCCCAAGTACTGAACCCTTAACTGGCTCACGTACCCTGTTACATTCCCTTGGTACACGTATGTCAACATCGAGTACAGATACAGTAGCAAGGGACACCTAAGAAAGTGTTTGATGGTCCCACCCATGGAAACAAGTGTCACTGTCCACCCAGGAGTAGCCGCCCCAGGCTGATAAGGCCCAGGTTTCTTCCCTCCTTTGAATGTCTGTCCTGTTTAAAGCCTGCTGGTATTGTGAGCCGAGGGCAGTGAATACTAAATTGTGTCCTTGTTGAAATTTCTATCCCGTTCAAACGCGATTTATCAAAATTATGTGACTTGAAATTAAAGGGGATAATTAAGTAAAACTAACTAGTATTCTGTTAGAAATATAGTTGATAAGGTAAATGAAACCATGGTTGTTTTTATTTTTGGTCTCTAAGCCTAATGATTGCTTTTCAAGCACTTAAAAAAAAATTTTTTTTTAAATGTAGTTAAGGGACTTCCTTGGTGGCACAGTGGTTGAGAGTCCGCCTGCCGATGCGGGGGACACGGGTTTGTGCCCCGGTCCGGGAGGATCCCGCGTGCTGCAGAGCGGCTGGGCCCATGAGACATGGCCGCTGGGCCTGCGTGTCTGGAGCCTGTGCTCCGCGACGGGAGAGGCCACAACAGTGAGAGGCCCACGTACCATAAATTAAATAAACAAATAAACAAACAAACAAACATTACAAGGACAATAACATGTTTTAGATTTAAATCAGAAATTCCAGTGACGTCTGTCTGTCTCTCACCCCTCATTGGAACCGCATCATGTTGCTCATCTTTTGCTCTTCGGTCACTGGCTCAAAGGGGCTCAGAACTGAGAAG